TTTGAAAACAGTAAAATCTCTCATACAGAATAATTCAAAATAATGTACATAGACATTCTGCCCCCAAGTAAGTGAAGCATAACTCCCTATTCTTTAAGTGTGGGCTGTGCAGAATAACTTCCTTCCAAAGAGTAGTATACAGATGGGGAAGAAGAGTAAGTTTACAGAGGAGACACCTGACCAGTACCTCAGCCAAGTGATCAAGGTCAACATGAACAAGTCATATGAATAGCATAGACCCTTGATGTGATATAATGAGAATGATACTCATCAGAGAATGGTCTTATCAGAGAATGATCTTCCTCCCAGAAAACATGCTACATAAGTCTTATCATGAGAAAAACATCAGACAAATTCCCAGAGGCACATACTACAACATTCATGACCAGCACTCCTCAAAACTGTCAATGACACCAAAAACAAAGAGAGCTGAGAAATTGCCACAGCTAAGCAGACATGACTAAATGTATATGGTATCCTGGATAGACTCCTGAAACAGAAAAAGGCATTAAGAGAAAACTAAAGAAATGTGAATAAAATATGGAATTTAGTTAATGATAATATATCAATATTTGTTCATCAATTGTGACAAATGCACCACACTAAATTAAGATGTTAATAATAGGGGCAACTGGGTAGGGGGTATATAGAAACTCTCTTGTACTGCCTTCATACTTTTTCCGCAAATCTAAAACTGTTTTAAAACAAAAAGACTACTTGAAATTATAATTGAATTTAATAGGACACACTTTTAAATAATTTATAGAATGTCATCAACCCTTAGTAATCTACATGACATTTCTCTCAGGCTCCAATGTTAGAAAAAGTTCTCTTTCTCCTGAACAGCCATCAGGTTCTTATCTATTCACTCAGTTCATCCTAATTATGTTCTAATCCTTGCTTTGGCCACTAGGAAGCCTGGAGACAAACCTATTAGGAATTATGAATAACACAATAGTTTCTATGAAGCTCTTGGCACCATCTTAGTTATTCTTTTAGTATTTTCACTCCACTGTGATTTTTTAAAAAATTTTATCACTGTTTTTATCTTATTACTAGGCATTTCAAATTTCCTTAGAGCCAGGATTTATGTTTTTGTCTGATTATACAAAATTTTATTATTCAAATTTCTGGCTTCCCATTTCTCATGTTACCAAAATTCTGGACAGTTTCCCATTCAACAGCTAGAAGATGGATAATTACTAAAACATTCAACTTCAGTTCTTGAACTGCAAAATGGTAACACTACCACCTGCTTTAATTGATGGTTTCCAGGGCAAATGTGTTCACATTTCATAATATGCCTATTATAGATAAAGAAAATGCACACAATAAATGATAATTACCATTATTAACAAAAATAGCAATAATTACTTTTAATATAAAAAGAATGGAGCTAAATTACAAATTAATCATAAGCCAGGTGGTGTTTTTCTCAGTGATTCAGATAAACAAAAGTGGCTGCCATATTTTGAAGGATGAGAATAATAACTAAAGGGAGGTGAGGGGAGAAAAACAGATAAGAAAAGAAGGGGGACTTCTTACCAACTGTCACTGCCAAAAACAAGTCTAAAAGCTTTAAGACAAGGTGAAATCCAATTACTTTTCAGCCTTAACTCCACTAGAATAATAAAAAACACCCTCTTCTAGCCTTTTTGGCACTCATTTCCTCAAAGCCTCCCAAAACAATCATAATAAGAGCCAAATAAACACCAAACCTGAATCTCTCCTTGGCCTAGAGAATGCCAATTTCATGTTCTACTACCCAGAGTTTTCTTGTTTTTGTTTTTTTTGTTATTTTTACCATTGGCACATTTAATTTCAGACCCTCTTTCATCTTCCTTATTCTTAAAGAAAGGACACTGGAGATTTTCATTAAAAGAGCCATGCATTTTTTAAATATTATGTGCTACACCTTTTATTCACAGTATCACTAAAACCCTCAGTAACCCCAAATGAATGTCTAGAAGACCTGAGGCTCAGGGAAGGGGCAGAGACTGGGGGAGCGAGTAATCTGCTCCAGATTCTTGCCCACAAGACACAGCAAAGACACTAAACCCAGGTCAGTCTGACTACAAGGGTTTCCCTCTTTCTACTATGCCAGAAATTTAATACAAAGACTCCTGCCAAAATTGATAAGAAAAGGGAACAAAATAAAATAGCTAATTCCTTCCAAAAATTTCTCAGCACTGCATTGGAAGTTTTCTTGCTACCTCACTCAGTCTGTACACTAAACCCATGGAATGGGTGCTGCCATTTTCCAATTATACAACCAAGTTCAGAGGGTTACTGGTTTCACCCTCATCACGCAGGCTGAAACTGAGAAGGGAGAAAGAATTGGAGGCTAAGAAAACAACAGGGGAGAGACAGATATAAGAGTTAGGTGTGCCAGAGAGAGGGCAACCACCTTTGCAAGAAGAACTCGGTGTCTGGCATCCAAGGTCTCTAGAAGACAAGGAACCAAGAGGGGAGGCTTTTGAAGGTACTCACAAGTACATAAGTATAGGGCAAGGGGTGCAAAGAGGAGGACTGCAAATTTGTACTAATAAAAATAGAATGAGTCATGAGTGTCAAAGCCAATATTAAAAAATGGCAGGAATGACTAGACAGCCAATAAATCATTTCTGCGCATTAAACTTTATGCTTCCTCGGGGTTTGAGACTGTCGTGAGCAGCGCTGGAAGCTCCCAGCATGCTCTGATAGGTCAACAGAAGGTCTCCATTTTTAAATTCACCAAATTTATTAAAACTTCTAAAATCCTTCCAATCACTGAAAAGGACTGGAAGTCCCATATTACTTTCATGTATATTTTGTTAGGCAACATTGTCCAAAACTACCACCACCTGGAGCACTTGTTAAACATAAAACCCAGGTACCCCATGGAGGTTCTGATTCCACAGTCTCAAAATTGGGAGCCCTGGTTAGCTGTGCTTTGAATAAATGATTCAACTAATTCCTATAATCAGGATAGTTTCAAAAAACTGGTTTAATAGGACTTTCTGAACAAGCTTACAAAATAGGCATCACGATCCCCATTTTACAGATAAAGAGATATTCAAAGGGGTAAAAGATGTTCCCAAAATCACACAACTCTTGTGTGTCAGAACCGAGGACAGGAAGTCACACTGTGACTGCAGAGTGGGTATACATGCCACCGCATTTAAATCTATCTGACTTTACATGGCATGAGACACCAGGAAATGGGGGCATAGACTATCTAGTACCATCAGAAAGAAACGGGGAGCTCTGAGAACCCTGGGTTCAATAACATACACCCCCCCCCCAAAAAAGAAAACAGAAGGAAAGCAAGGTCTTCCTCCATCTGTAGTAAATTGAGCCCTCAAGGTTTGCAGGCCAATGAGGTATTGCTGATATTCACACTACCACAGCTGCTTTGACTAAATAGGTCCATTTGGCTAAAATAATTAAAACATTTCTTTCACTACTGCACAAAGGTTAAAAAAAAAAAAACCTACAGAAATGTCCTTCCAGAAATAACTTCAGACAATTAATTTCACACCAAAAAAGGAATGCCCAAGATGAGATTTTCACCCACACCCTGGCCTCCCCATTACACTGTGATAACAGTGTAACAGTGACTAATTGTACCTTCTGGGGTCAAGTTCAGACCACTCCTCCAGAGCTTTCTCCCCAAGACAGGGGTGAGTACCTGAAGTTTACTGAAGCCATTTGTATATGTATGTGGCTCCCCACTACCCTGAGACCCCAGACTAATAATCATTTTATTGGTAGGAAGGGAGGATAATCCACATGAAAAATGATGTGCTTGTGAAACACGTCTTCTTCTATCTCCTTTCTGAGAGCCCCTGCTGCTGAACTACCACATTCTTATCAACTCCGTGTAAGACAAAGTCCAAACCAAACCAAATGAGATAGATAGAGCACAGGGAGAATGGTGCTCCTATCTGCAGCTTCCCTTGAGTTCAAATAAAAAGGAAAATGGGGAAGATTTAGTCCTTTCTGAGTGAGCTGACTTTAAGATATAACACCTCCCTCGGCATATATATATATATAGATACAGGTTTATCTGTCCTCTGGGAACTGATCCTCTTCCTCACAAATTTGTTCACTACAGACTCTAACTCACTGTCAAGGTGAGAAGACCCCTCCACACCCCATTGCTACCCCCTTATGCATCTTCTGAAATCTGAGATCAGAATGACAACTGATGTGCATAGTTTGAGATTTCATGTCAAGTCATGTAGCACATAATTATGTATAACATTCATAATTTATTTAAAAATATTATTGACTTCCAACATATATATCTCTACATTCTGCAATGATTCAGGTACATTAATACACAAGGCAAAATAGGTTCATAACACACCCACCCAGCTTCCTTAAAAAACATGCATATCCCTTATGGATGAAGAAGATGAAGGGATTAAGAAATACAAGTTGGCAGTTACAAAAATAGACACAGGGATGTAAAGTACAGCATAAGAAATATAGTCAATTATATTAGAATAACTATGCATGGCGACAGATAGATATTAGATGTATCAGGAAAATCACTTCATAGGTTATATAAATGTCTAACCACTATGTTACACACATAAAACTAATGTAATATCGTATGTCAACTGTAATTGAAAAATAAAATTCTTTTTTAAAAAACATATTTCTTGCCTTAATTTTAGGGGCCAATAAATATATTTTCCTTTTATTCATTATGTAAAAAGTGCCTTTGGAAAAACAGTCACACTGCATGATGGACTGCCCATGTCTCTTTCAAATGTGTCCAATTTCAATGAATGGTCTTCACCTTGGATACCACATTCTGGGCCTCACAGGAACAATGGCGCTTGGGCATGTGCAATGAAGGTGGAAGATGGATTCAAGATGTTTCAAGTATGCAAAATCACATGCAGATGTACAAACAGTGCGTCCAGTCAAAGTGAGTTAAGAAAGTAATATATATACAGATACCCGAGAATGGATGAGCGCAAATAAAATCGAACTTGTAATTAACATACCGTGCTGTGACACCTGTTGCCTTCCACGATAAGAAGTCTGGGAGATCAAAGAAATGCCCCGCCTTATCCCAGCAAGTCTCTCTCAAGCTCTGCCAAATTAAATATATATTAGAATCAATTATGGTCTGTTTTCTCTACCCCTCTCCTCTTTCAATAATGTTGCAAAATTTTCAAAACAAAAGCATAGCCAACAATGCCCAATAATACATCTGCTCAGGGGTTGAGAGAGGGTATGATGTAAAAGTGGTACCTATAAAGGAAAGAAGTATTAGCAATTATGGATCCTTGCAAAAATGACCATAATATCCCTTTTTTCTCCCTTTGCCAACCTGGAGGGATAGGAAGTACACTCTGGGAAGGTACGCAATCCATCTTCCCAGTGAAGGGCCAGAGGATAAGCTTTAAGACATATAAGATTTCAAAGCTGGACAGCTGTAAGCTGGTGGGGCGGGGGGGGGACGCACTAAGAAATTAATGCGTGAAACAGAACATGCCCTACCCGTGTAAAATTCTCCCCACACCAATGGGTTCCAAAGGCAATAGGAAATATGATTCTTGCCCTCAACAAACTTCCAATTTAAGCCAAGGAGAATGGCACATAATCAAGTCATTACTATGTTTTTAAAACATTTGTTCCTTCCACACTGCCAAAGTGGTCAGAGCTTTTCCTGCCACTGGGCTTTTTTTTTTTTCCTCCACCGACCCTACCTGGAACATTCATTCCTCACCCTCCACCCTGTTCCCTCCCAGGGTCCAGGTCACCCCTACCCCTTTGGTTGACCCTATCCATCCTTCCCTGAACTGGCCTTCCAGGATACGCTACTCAGGTTAGATCTGGCTGTCACACAATGTGGTGAATGTCTTTCTTTCCTGCTGGATAGTAAGCTCTATGAGGTCAAGGACCTTGTCAGTTTATGCACCATGATATCCCACGGCTGACTCTCTCCTCCCCCTACACAGGGCTGGACCCTTAGTTGTAAGGTAGAAACTACATAACTCCACTCCCTTCACTGGACCAGAATGGACATGTGACCTGAGCCAATCAGATCTCTTCTCTTAGGAATTTAGAATCAGGATCCCAGTGGAGTCATTTAACTTCTGCCTATGAATGAAACTGGAGGTGAGATAAACTTGGAAACTGTCAAGTGGCCGTTTTTTATACCTGGAGAAGCAGAACTTCATAAAGAGAAGAAAGAGTAAAGCAGACTAGAAGAGATAACAAAAAAGGCTTCCTACTACCCAGGCAGCTAACTGTCCATGTCTTGGTTTCAATAATCCCCTCCCCAGGAGGCTACAACGACAAGGAACGTGTCATGAGCAAGATGGTATTTTTGGGGACACCACAGGTAACAATTCAGAAGTTCAGAAGAGGCATATTCCAGTGTGTGCCTGAGGGCGACACACAGCAGGCACTCAATAAATGTTATGGAACAACCAAACTGCTCGGTTTCACCTTCCAATCTCTCATGTGAGGAGGGCTTCGGAGTTTATGAAGGGCTTCCACGTGTGCTATGTCCTTAGTGCAATACAAAAGTCCTGAGTGTTACTACATCTAATTTACAGACATACAACTGGACTTGATCAACATTTGCCCTCAAATTCTATGAGTTCTTCCTATTTCCTCCTTCCCTATCACAACTATATGAACACAGAAATCTATGCATAGCAGAGAAACTAAGTATTACATCAAAAGGGTTCTGATGTAAACAGTTCATTTTCTATTCTTGTTGTTGTTTAAATTCCTAAGCATTTGGATGAGAACTTATATCTAGAAAGGGTTTAACTTCTCTTTGAATGTTTTAATGTTCAACAAAGCAAAACTTAAATTTGACTAAATATGCTCAACACAGCTATGAACCAGTAGCATCTATACACAGTAACCGGTCACAATAAAAAAATGGCAGCCTTTGAAACTAGTATGTGAGTCAAACTAGTGATATTAACAGTATGCCTTCCGGGTAATCCAAAAAATCACTTTCCACATGCTTTGTGATTTCAGTGATTGGTTCTCAGAGAGAAAAAGAAAGTGGTGCCTCCTTCTAAGGGCTCCAGAAACCCAAGGTCAGTTACCAGAAATGAACCACTAAAACCAGTTCAGCAACAACCAGTGCTCCACACCACAGCTGAACAAGCTTCCTAAACTCAGAAAACAACTGCTTCTGTTAGATGAGAGTCATTAAAGACCTTGCAGAATGAGAGCTTTCAGCATGTGGCCATGCAGACAGCCACCATGGACCAGGGCACCCAAGTAGAACGTCTCAAAGAGAACTTCAGACCTCTTAACAAAAAGACACACACTGAGGTGGGAGGCACAAGGCAGCCAGGAGCACCATTTCTCTTTGAGACCACACCAGCTTCATTGATCAAAGCCAGGGACCCTAGTGCAATCTCTCCACAGGCTGAGAAACAAGAAATAACATCGTATTAGAAGTATGAGGTATGCTCCGGAATGCATATTGTCTAGGAGAAGAAGACAGCAATACTCTCTGCTTTCTCTACAAAAGCAGGCTGGAGGTTAGCCAGCAAAGGGAAGGGAGAAAGGATGAGAAGGAATGTCTCCAGAAGCTTGATCCCCTTGCTTCAAGAGGCTGACTGACAGACTACCTGTGAGGATCCCATGATGTTTTCATGTTGTGCTACCTAATTCACAAGTGCTTTGTCATCAAATGAGAGACTGGTCAAGGATACATTAGCCCCCATGGAAAAATTTTTAATCAAGTTCTGGGGGAAAATCTCCCCATCTCTCCCCTTCCCCAGACAGTTCAGTACCAGCCAACAGCCTCAATCGTACTGAATTAATTCTATCTTTGCGAACTTTGGGCCTACATCAAGACACACTGACAGCCCTCTTCCATTCCTCCACAGCTTAAAATAGTGCTCTCACGTGCCTCCTCTCATCCGATTCTCAGAGCGGTTCAGAGGTGTGTAGGCGATATACAATAGTCAAATACAGAGGATGTAGAAACTGTGGTTTGGATGACAAGAACTTAGCCCAAGGTCACATGGGATTGCTAGCTCCAAAGTGAGTCTTCCTTCCTCCGCCTACAACACAGGCACCACCACCCTGAAGCCCCCAAATCTGTCAGTGTAGAGGGTTTTGGCCATTGGAAGGATCGGGAAGGAAGCTGTTGCCATTCTTTACAGAAGAAAAACAAAACAAAGAAGAAAAAGATTTTTTTTGTAAAAAAAAAAAAAGATTAAGTAAAGAAAAACCCTTCCCAAGCACATTGTTTACATATATATATATATATATATATATATTTTTTTTTTTTTTTTTTTAATTTCAGAGATTTCACTTTCAATCCTGGGAAACTCACTCAACTTTCCTGTACCTAGTAACGGCCTCCCTGCACTAATGGTGGACGGGTCAGAGAGAGCACACAGCAAGTCCACACACATGCCACTTTAGTTGTACCTCATTATACATAGCTCAATCCAGTTTAAACTAGATCTCTGTGCAGAATGGGTTAAGTCTATACCCCAGTTACCAAGCAACTAACAAAAATGAGTCTTTTGAAGAGAAAAAGACATCAGCCATGATTTGGGGTGTGTGACTTGGCAATAAGACTTCTGCATTCCAATAAAAATCCTTTGAGCAAGCAATCCCCCAGGCTTGAAAGCAACCAAAGGAACTCTTTACATTTTTTTTAAATCATGTATTACTTCATAAAACTACAGCATTTCTTGGGAGGAGGCACTATTCAAAGCGCACACAGCTGCAGGTCTCAGCAGAGGGTGGAGGCAGAACAGTAGATCCAAGATTCAAGGCCAGGCAGCAGCCACCCCAGCCTCAGGGCAGGAACATGTGGCTTTCTCCCTTCCCCTCTCACTGTGGTGTCCAAGGAGGCAGTAAGGTCTCCCTTGGCTTCTAGACTCTGAGGGAATTTGTGTGAAAAATGAAGCAAATACTGCATTGCATGTCAGGAGACACCAGGGTCAAGGAGCAGTAAAAGAGAAAGCAGGGATGACCAGTTCCAAAAGGGTCATCCATGTATTTTATTATTAATTGTAAAGAGATTCTATCTGGAATATCTGTTGTGGGCAGTGAAGAAAAGGGAGGAAACAGAGCCCTCTAATTCCCCACCCAGTAAAGGATCCTGCCTGAACATTCCAAACACTCACAATGTTGTTTTCCAGCACAACAACCCATGAAAAAGCCAAACCTTATCCTCACTCTGCATTCAAGACTCCAAATTAGGGCACAGGCTGATGGTCCAGAGAGGAAAGATGTGTCAGGAAGAAACTTAATCCTCAAATGTCACTCTTAAAAGAAAAATGATGCTGAAAAGACTAAGTGGGTCATATTCCCCAACCAGAACCTTCCCAGAATGAATGAAACAATTGTGTGTTTCAAACTCCCATCCACAGAGAAAGAGATCTAACACTGGACATACTGCAAGTCAGACAGACATCTAGAAACATACACTGAGAGGCTTGTACTACCAGAGGCATCTTTCTAAAAACTTAAAATTGATCGTTGTGTTTCTTTGTAGAAAATGATTCGACAGTTCCCTATGGCCTAAAATCATATTTTCTCTCCTTGGCACGGTTCTCAGGACACTTAACAACCTGGCTTCGACTTGGCCATTACTTTTATGAATTCTTCTGGATTCACTGCCCATTACCCCTCCTAGATCCCTCCATCCTGCTCTCACCTCATTTCTCTCACTTCCCCAAATGCATTATGCATTTTTATGTTCCCGTGCCTCTACTGAGGCTAATGCATCTACTTGGATTGATTTTCCCATCTTCTCCCACTATCAAACTTTCCTACCATTGATTCAAATCCAGCTCAGATATCACCTTTATAGTGAATCCTTCCATCCTTTGCTACATCCTAATTATATATTCATATGCCTAAATCCACCTCAGAATGACAAACTCCTGGAGGGTGAAAGCCAGCTGACTCATGGGGGAAAAAAAAGTTTCAAGAAGTATAAAGAAATTTAAAGTCAAACTCTTTAAAGTTCAAACAGAGCTGGAAAAAGATGTGCACAAGGGAAAAGGTAATTAATTTAAGATGATGTATGACAATAATGTAATGAGCCCAATACCAAGGTTTGGTGAGTCAGCCTCCTAACTTTGTCAC